ATTTCAGGTATCAACTAGCCAGAAATTGGGTTATTAGAGGAAGGCAGGTGCATCACATAACTTATCAGAAAGACTGCAATTTCCACACCAAGAATTGAGAAGCTATACTGATGCCCATTCCAAGCTATCAGCTAACTGGAGCCTTTAGCATGTAGGAAGATGTCCATGCAGGGTCTGCCTTCTCAGCATGCATACCAATGGGGGCCATGGCTTCTAATCCATAGAAATATTTCTACTTGCCTCCTTTGTCTACCATACTATCATCAAATGCAATATTAATGTAGCATCAAAATTCATTTTCATGTCATAAATCTTCCTTTAATTTTATATATAATAAATGCTTACAGATGCAAATCATGTTTAAATAGAAGGACATAATGGTTAAAAGAAGTATTGGCCATATTGTAGTAATTTTGCAAACAGCTGTTTCAAGTTAACATATGTGTATTCCCAGTCTTGTGTATATGAGATACAAGTTAATGTCAACAGTACATTAACAATGCAACTGAATTTAATTATGGAACTGAAAGTGCTATGGGTAGAGAGATCACATTTTCACCAAAAAGCATAGGTAGGGAGACATCTGTTTCTGGTGAGTTTCAAATAGGTACTTGCATCTTTTACACTCACAAATTCTATCGTTCTTTTCAACAGTACATTAACTAAAATATTTCTCTGCATATTTTTTCCTAAACCAAGATGGCAGATATATTCTTCAGCAATTTAATTTTATAAATGGCATTATATATGACTTTTAAATAAGAATATGGGAAGTATAAAGAGGACTGTAAAGCATGAAAATGATATTCATACTTTTGCACAAAGCTATATCTGGAATTAAGGGCAAAAAGAAAGCTTTCTTGCTTTGTTTCCAAATGGCTCCCTACTGTGCTCACAATTCTTTATTTTACTACATTCTACTGTTTGAAATCCTTTCAATTAGTGAAATCACTTAAATTAACCTCTAAGGTCTCTTAAGATGCTAATGTCCTTGGGAGGATTGGGGCTATTAGACATTTGCAATATGAGTGAATTTAATCACATTGTTTTTCTCTGAACAGCTGGCTAAATTCCATGCACTGAGTAAATAAGGAGGATAAGATAATTTTGAAAGGAATCCTGCTGGGAAGAAGATTCTGTAGGAGGAAGGGGAGCTTGAGAAGTGGAGGGGCATTGCTTCCTATGGGTTAATGTGACCAAGTGCCATAGTGTGCCAAGTTCACCTCTGAAGACTGCACTTTAAAATCATTTACAGTTGAGCAATGGACTTGGCATAGCACCTTTGAGGAATTGCTAAAATAGTTCAAATTATTTACCTGGAAAAGTGAAAACCTCAGAGATGACCTAATTGGGCTATTCTTTTTACCGGTTGTTTTGCATTTTACCACTTTAGCATAGTCAGAAAACCTAATAAACACCACATTTCTTGCCCCATCTGTCTCTCCATTTTCTGGTTTTCACCACTGCCCAAAGCGACAAATGACTCTCCTTTATTGCACTGCATTTTGAAGCAGGAGTGCACTGTATCTGAAAGTAGATCACGTAGAGGGTTGCCAAGGATACGAAGCATTGTTGAAATGGAGACAGACACCTGCTTAACTATTGATGGAAATTAAAAGTTTATACTCATCCTATATTGCTCAGAGAGTTTAAATACTGGAGAAGTGGAGTCTGGCTGAGATGCCAACTATCTCAATGATTGCCAAGACCAATGTGCTTGCTCTGGTGGGTTAAGTGTCCTGAGTTTTCCATGGCATGGAAGCATTCTCATGGCTTCATGAAGGTACCTTTTTCAGATGGAAAAGGGTTTGTTAAGACAAGTGTACAGCAACAACTGTCCTCTCCTTCTAGAATCTCTAAGCAAACTATTACAGATCGTTTATATGAGCACATGATTTAATCAAACTAATAAGATGTGAATGGTTATGAATAAATACAAGGAACATTTTATTCTGAAAAGCCAGGAAGGTTAAAGAACACAGTGGTGGCAGTCTATCTTCTACAGGATTTTTAAAATTTGGCTAGACATACCCATTATCTCTGGCCTCCAGAAAGGTAAGGTAGTTTAGTGACCTGAAGATAAACTACAGAAATTTCTATCCTTTTATCCCTTTCACACAAATAAAAACTGTAACTGTTACCTAAACAGAATCTGCCCCACTTTGCCATGTTTATTTCTATGTTGTACAAAAAGATGACCACATCTTGAAAATAGGATGTGAATACTTAAAGCACTAATTCTTATGGTTTCAGGAGGATCCTTTATTTATTTATGTATTTATTTATTTATGGTCTAGAACGCCAGGTGGGAAGGTAAGCCAGTTTTGTCCATTAGGCTACAAGAAGGAAAGAAGAAAAGAAAAAGAGGAGGTGACAGAACATAAGAAGAATAAGAAGAGGGAAGGAATGAGAGCAAGAGAAATGAAGGGGAGAAAGGAAGAGGAGGTTCAGAAACTCTAAAAAATGGCAGCAGATGCCACTTGTTGTCATGATTATCAGTCAGCCAGACTGGTCTAGAATTTAACCACAAATTCAGCAAGCAGATTTTAGAGGCTATGCCACAAATGGGCAGTAAAGAGTCACTGGCTCCAGTTTGAACATTAAAATTTTCAATTATCCAGATGTGTGTTTGGTTTTATAGCCATGAAGTAACTGCATTGTCAACAGAATACAAAGATGCTGTTGATCAGAGAAGGGAAAATGGTAGTCCCAAAGGGAAAGTAAATGTCATATTTTGTACAAACTAATCTGATTAGTGGTACTTTTGAAACTGCCTTTTGAATAGGACTAACCCTTTTCTTAGCTTAGTCTCCAGAATAATGAGAGTTTTCTTGCTTCAGAAATAAACGTAATCACCGTAACTTATTTGCTTATTATATTTCTCACATTTCTTAGTAATAAAAGTTGTCCTTTATTATGATTCAAGTCTTCCCAGCATATAAATGTAATACTTTTAAGGTATCAAGCTATTTCAGTGAGCATTATATATTCAGTATAAGGCTGGTCATGGTTCAACTTTCTCCTGAAGATGCTATCCTAATTGCTTTACATTAAAAATTATCAGTCTAGAAACCTAAATGAACATCTGAAAGTTAATTACCAATTGTTGGCTTTGTCAATTGCCAGTACATATTTCAAACGATATCTATGTTCAATAACCATGATTTGAAACATTGGAACTACTAGATCAACCAGGATTGGCATCACAATGTACCAGATGGTGCGTGCTACTAACTACTAGGATTATTGTGGCTGAACATCCACACCAAAAAACAATTGCTGTAGACCAAAGAATTATTTCAAAATATTTCCCAAGTCTTAAATGGCTATGATCCTGACAAGATCACTATTTCTCAGCATCATGAACTTATTACACACAGGTTTCTTGTCCATGGTCCTTGTCTTCATGTATTCCTGATTTCAAACTAGCAGACTTCTGGGCACTCTGTGCTAGATGACTGAAGTTGCTACACAGCCAACCTGTGTAGATGGTGTTGGACCAAATGACTACAATGCAGCTGTAGGGAATTACAAAACTGAATACCGTGGAGGAGCATCACCTGGCCAGACTAGGTGGCAATCTAAGGACTTTAAACAAGAAAAATAGTACTTCTGTAAGACTTAAGAAGGATATACACTTGCCAAATAAATGCGCATGATCAAAAAAAAAAAAAGAATTTTGTTTGTTGGTTTCTTGCTGAGGCCCAATACCTATAATATATGCTCAGTTCCAAGTGTTTAGAGCAAGAATGTCCAAAGTATTGTACCCATCTGCTCATGCATCCACAAAACTGAATAAAATTCTCATAACCCCCCAAAATCTTGTTTTAATATATTAAAGGAAAAAATAGATTACTAAAGCAGTATACACAATATACTTCTGTATAAAATACATACATGCACGGACAAAAATCAGAGGAACACATACCAAAATATCAACAGAAACTATCTCTTGCCCTGGGATTACAAAGTAGTTTTGCTTTTTGCTTAGCAGAATATTTTAATCTTCCTACAATGAATATATTAATGTGGTTAAATTTTTTTAAATAATCCAGATATTTTAAAAATCAGATTCTAAAGGAAAATAATAAAAATGAAAATGTTTAACAAAGAATGAAAACACAACCCAAGATTTCCTGACACTGAATGAACCCAATGGGTAAACAAAGATTAAGTCTAAGAAATATGTCTTTATTATGGAATTTCTGTTTGACACCACAGAACTTCCAAAAGTCTTAGGAATTGGGGGTACCACAATCCCTGTAAGTTGAATTGAAAGTAGGCTAAAAATAAAAGGATTGGCTGAAAGTTGAAGAAGCAGTGAGACCCCAGACTGCTTCCCCCTCTACAGGGAGCTTAACAAGTGTTCCACTAGAGCTTTGCAGAAGATGGCAGGTCTACCCTTTGGCAAATTTAAGATACAGAGTATCTGGGCCAAAGGACACTAGAAAAAGTAAGAATGCAGATATGATACTTTTAAAAAAAATTTAGATAGCAAATGCTAAGACCTCTCAAGCCTTCTTCTCCTACTAGTCTGAAGAACATTAGCCAGTATCATCAAAACAAGAGACTAAAATATGCTTCTCTGGAGAAACCAACCAACCTAAGAGACAAGACATAAATATACAGACATTGAAGATGTGCCAGTGAAACCACCCATCATGATCACCCTAAAATAAAACCCAAAGTAAATAAGTCCCACCCACGTGTTCAGGGTTTCTAATTGGCTTTTAAGTACTCCACTCATCATCAGGAGCAAAAACCAGGATTACCAGACATTTGACGCAAGTTTCAAAAATAACAGAGACAAAGAAAACAGAACAAAGCAACTCTGAGAGAAACAAGGGAGAGAAAATTTCAAAAAATATTGTTAACACAGTGTTAGACACAATAATGCTCCCCTCCCCCAATACGTCCACATCAGTATTGATTTCCTAGGGCTGCCGTAGCAGAATCCCTCAATTGAGGTGGCTTAAAACAACAGAATTGTATAGTCTCACTGTTTTGGAGGCCAGAAGTCTGAAATCAGGACACCGGGAGGGCCGCATTGACTCTGGAGACACCAAGGGAGGAGACTGCCTCGCCTCTTCCTGCTTCTGGCGGTTCCCAGCGTTCCTTGCGGCATCACTCCAGTCTCTGCCTCAGTCTTTACATGCCCTTCTCCTCCGTCTGTGTCCACGCCGTCTCTTCTTCTTTCTCTCATAAGGACACTTAGCTGTTACTGGATTTAGGGCCCACCTTGATAATTCAGGAAAATCTCATAAATGAAAATTCTTAATTACATCTGCAAATACCCTTTTTCCAAATAAGATCACATTCACTGATATGTGTCTGGGGGGAACCACCACTCAACCAATGACAATGTCCTAATAACTGAAACCTGTGAATACGTCACCTCACATGGCAAAAGGGTCTTTGCAGATGTGAATAACTTAAGGATCTTGAGATAAGAAGATTTTCCTGGATTATTCATGTGGTCCCAATGGAATCACAAGGGTTCTTACATGGGGGAGGTAGGAGGGTGATAGTCAAAGAAGGAGCTATGACAATAGAGGCAGAGGAAGAGGAGATAACAGCAACAGAAGCAGAGGTCATACTGTTGTGAGGAAATGACCACAGCCAGGGAATATAAGTGGCCTCTAGAAGCTGGAAAAGGCAGGGAAAGAGATTCTCCTCTAGAGCCTATGGAAGGAGCTCAGCCTTGCCGATCCATTGTAGACAGCTAACCTTCAGAACTGTAAGATAGTACATGTGTGCTGTTTTAAGCCACACAAATTGTGGTGATTTTTTATAGGAACGGTAGGAAATTATGTACGCACACACATAAATGATAGAAGATAGCACATCTTTCAACTTAAAATATTACATTTTTTGAAAAGCTTGCAAAGAACATAAAAGAGCTCTTAGAAGTCATATACACACATGCACCTGCACACATATAAATATATATCCACATATACACATGTGTATTAGCAAAAATGAAAATCTCAATGGAAACCACACAGATGTGCTTGAGAAAATCACAAAGAAATGAGAGAAAAAATAACAAAAAGATGTGGAAAATAGGACAGAACTGTTACAAAACTTAAAGAATCAGAAAACTAATTTGACATTCACAAAATAGGAGTTCCAGAAAGGAGAAAAATATGGAAGAAAGTAAATCAATGAAATAATTTGAAAATATTTTTCTATAAGTGAAAACGTGATTATACTGAGACAGCCTACTGAATATCTAGACCAATTGATGGATGATATACTTACATCTAGCCACGTCATCATAAAATTTCCAAACGTTACAGAGAAAGAGAAAATTCTAAGAGAAATCAGAAGGGGGAAAAATTAAATTCATATGCAAAGGATCAGGAATTATAGTATCTTCAGATATTTCAGTAGTAACAATGGAAGCTAGAAAAGAACAGGGAAATGTCTTTAACTTTCTGATAGAAAACTATTTCTAGCCTACAATTCAATACCTAACCAAACTATAAGAGTAGAATAAAACCATTTTAAGACACATGAATTGTCATAGTATTTACGTCACAGACACTTTCTCAAAAAGCTACAGGAATGTATGCTCCACTAGAATAAGAGAATAAACCAAAAATTAGAAATATACAAGAATCAGAAAATAAGGTTTCTACATCAAATCAAGAAAAATGTGATCCCTGGGATGAAGGACCCCTGAGCAGCTGGGCATCATGTACTCAAGCAACCATTCCAGATTGAAACAGGTCAGGGGACACCATGAGACACTGTGGCCAAGAGATAAAATTGACAACACTTCCTGTTCATTTGAGGAGATTTAGAAAACCAATGGGTTTGGGGTTGGATTCATGATGAGCACATAGAAAGCTAAGCAAATGGAAACTCACAGAAGCAGAAAGTAGAATGATGATTACCAGAGGCTGGAAAGTGGGGGGAATAGGAGAATATTGATCAAAGAGTACAAAGTTTTAGCTAGGAAGAGTAAGGTTTTTGACATCTATTGCCCATTATGGTGACTGTATATAGTTAATAATAACGTACCTTTCAAAATTGCTAACACAATAAATTTCAGATGTTCTCACCACAGAAAAATAAGTACTTGATGTGATGGATATGTTAATTAGCTTGATTTAATTTATACATATATCATAATATCACTTTGTACCCCACATATATATAATTATAATTTGTCAATTTACAATAAATTTTTTAAAAGAAAACTAAGCAAATGGGGGGGGGAGAAGGCAAGGGAGAAAAAGGAATATCACTGTATAATATATTGTATATCACTGTATAATATATTGTATATCACTGTATAATATATTGCTTAGAATGAATAACAATATGTGTCATAATAATGTAAAAGCTCACTGCTGATCTAACACAATTCTGGGATACCCATATTGGGAATAGAAAGGACAAGAAAGTACCTGGGTGCAGGGATGGGGGTGAAAGTCACAGATAATGCCTAAAATTTTAAAAATTAAGAAGTAACCAGTATAAGTATACTATATTTAACAAATTGAAGGAAAACATCAAAAGATCTATGGTATTGTTAGAATTTAAGTGGGAGTATCATTTTATCTAAGGTGTTTTGCAAAGTGTCATTGTTTGTTATATGCCTTTGATTAGCCTACCGAATAGTACAGTTTAAATATGAGGAAAGGAACTGCAGAAAGATGCCAAGATTTGCTGAAGGTTTCTGCATAAAACTAAAAGAAACAATCCTGGATAAACTTAATCTTTCTAAGTGGCTCTTCTGTTTTCTCCAGCTGTGAAGTATATTCAGTACTTTCAACCCCTTTCTTTTGTTCATGTTTGAATTCCAAGCAAGACACACCTTAAAGCAAGCAATTACCAAAAATAACCCTCCTCATGTTATCAAATGACTTAAATTATCCTGAAAAAAAGTAGCATATTTCTTTATATGCCATCACAAGCAGCTCTAACATGTTTTGTCAAGTCTGAAAATTTATATAATCTATCAACAAATAATTGTGAATATTAAATGAATCAAAATATTTCTTCAGTGATTTTATAAGCATCTACACACATCAGTAACAGATTTCTCTTATTTAATCTGCTGATTTTAAGCCACCTGCTAATTACCTATTTTGTGATTTAAGCTCATCCAACTTTCCAACCTCACATTGATTAGGCTACCCGATATGCTTCTGGGCCACTTGCCTGAGATGAAGACGTGTGAGGAATCATGAATTAATTTTAATGTTACCAAAGGAAACCACAAAGAGACAAACAAACCAAATAATGTATTCTAAGGTTAAAAAGATACAGGAGGATGTTATTTAGGAACACTGTAATTTTTGGTGACATCATTCTCTGCTCCTCTGGATTAATCTGTAGAGTTGAGACTGGTTGATAATAAGAACTCCACTCTGTCCCACCATGACTTCTAAGCGTAGAAGTGGATAGCACTTCAATGGGCATTAATGGGTTTTAGACTAACCACTCCCTACACTGCTGCTAATTATCATTGCACAGCTTGTCTCTTCCCAGATTACAGTCCAGAGCATTTGCATCATATTTATCTTGCCTATAGCTTCTGTGAAGGTTCTTAATCTCCCTGCCCGTCTGTCTATTCTGAGGGCTTGCAACACTACATTTTGCAATTGGTAGCAGAACTGATTAACATGTTCTCTCTGCTCAAGGAAGTAAAGACCTCCTTTGACATTTCTGGACTCTCATTTTTTCCTTCTGTGGTGAGGAATCTTTAACCCTTCACCTTACTGGTTGCTCTTCCCTGTGGAGAAAGAGTGGCCAATTGTTCCATATTGTCAGCAGGTGCCTCAAAAGTAAGATAGCCCCACTCTTCCTCCTCACAGACCTTGATGTTCTCAGGGGTAGGGTGAGCTCTCCTCTCCACTCCCTGTTGCCTCTTCCTACTTTCTTCTCTCATCATGAAACTGGGTGGATTTATTGGATCAGTCTTGCTTTGTCTTCCTGCTGTCTCCAGTTCAAGGCGAAGGAATAGGAACTTTCACTTTGCATAGTCTAGCACTACTAGGAAGCATTATACTTAATAAAGCCGATACTTTGCCCAAACTGGTTCATTTCTCTCTGTACATGAGTTATTCATCAGAACCCCTGGGGCAAGAAGGGGGGTGGAGTATGAAGGGTAGGATTCCAGCACCGAACCCCACCCTGGACTGCCAACAATTACTGTACGATTAAGATACGCTGAGGGCCAAATCAGTTCCTGAAGGAAAACTCCTTCCAGCCGAAGCCTGCCATAACTCAGTTAACCTAAAAGGCAAATATTAGTTCTCTCCCCAAAACGGCATTAAAAAGTGGCTCCACTGTGTTTGTCTGGTGCTGGTTTCATGAGTGTGCCCTGGGGATTTCAGACAATACCGTGGTGCTAAAGTAGCAACTGGAATCTTTTACCCAGCCGGCTGGGCTGAGACTCTGTTCTGGCATCTGGCCCAGTATATCGAAATTGTGGTTTTTCAGCCCATTTTGGAAGCTGCTTCACTGAGCCATGTGACAACCCCAAAAGTTGGTCTGGCACCAGAAGACTTCATCAGATTGCGAACTTGAGAGCCCTCAAGCCGGCTGTTTTTGTATTGATGCCTCCCTTCCCGTAATCATTAACAGAAGGTGAGAGGGCTGCAGTTGGAACACACCTCACACCTATTATGCAGTTTGTGTTTATGTCTCTGAACCCTCGTAAATCTCCTGGGCTCTGAGCACTTGCCTACTCAAATAAAAGCATTCTCTGGAGGAAACTCCAGTAAGAGTTTGAGTTATTAGCCTAGCTCAACAAGCTTACCTGGAAGGAGCACAGGCATGGCTACAGATTTGTCAGAAAGATTTAAGAGTATCTGTTTATTTACTGATTTTAACACTAGCAGAAACTGAAGCTGTGAATACTCTCGACATAGCCATCTGGTGGTCCCCTTGGAACCTGTGCAAATCATGCAGCACATACTAATGTAATATAGTAGGTACGAGTCATGGCGAATTTCCAGTTGAAAAGTGGCAAATTAATAGATTATGTCAATGCTGACAGCTCTCAACTTAATGCTTCATTGATTCCACTGTTCTGTGAGAGATTCCTTGTCTCTTAAAACAACAACTACAAAACCATTATTGAATGCCTACTATGCACTCAGCCCTGTGGTAGGCAATGGGGGTTGAAAAAGAATTACCCATACTCCTTGATTTGAAGATGTTTTATAATCTAATCAGTGACAATTAAGGTACATTAGACCATTAAAAAGCAAAAGTAAAGTAAGTGATACATTTTTGTGGTAGGAACCTCAGGCAATAGAGGAATTAGGCAGAAAGAGACATTAATATGGTTAACTCCTAAAGTAGTATGACCTACAGGATAAGTAAGTGGATTTAGATAAGTGGAGGGAGAAAAGAGAAAGTTCTAAGCATTGAGGCAATGTTTCTGAAGAAACTGAAATACAAATATGCAGGCACTGCCTATGGAAAGGGGAAGAAAGAAGTTGCCCTGCCTAGGGAGAATAAGTACAACAGAGTGACTTTAGCCAGAAATGAATGCTACGGACAAATCCTGAATAAAGGATTTTAGAAGTCAAACCAAAGGATTTAAAACTGATAGAGGAGTAAACAAGAAATCCAGAATAAAATAGACACGGTCAATTCCAAATGACTTTTCCCTTGAAGTTTTGGTTGTTCTATTTTCGTAAAAGCCTCTGAGAAGAGCAATATTTTGTTTCCTTTGGGCAGCCCAGTGATTGCCCTATGAATATTACTCTAAAAACTGTAAATGCCAGATTTTTGAAGTAGTTTTGTTGATAACATAAAAACCAATAATCATTAACTGATCAGTTGCTATATTTTGCAAAATTTAGAAAAATATTGTTTGAAAAGGAGTGTGTCTTGCTGACCCATGTCCTCTGGGCAATAGTGACAAACACTCTTGTTTGTC